GGCGCCAGGCCCGTGGCCTCCTCATGCCGATCCAGCGGCATCTCATCATGCCGATTCAGCGGCATCTCATGCCGATGCAGCTCGGCTGCCGCCGCCGGAGGCACCTCATGCCGACGCAGCGGCATCTCATGCCGATGCTGTTGAGCCACGGGCGGCGGCACCCCATGCCGATGCTGCTGAGCCACGGGCGGCGGAAGCCACCTCCGCGCCGGAGGCGAATCGCGCTTCCTGCGTCGTGGAGCCGCCGCAGCAGGAGCCGCCGCAGCGAGAGGAGCCCCAGCAGGAGCCGCCACAGCAACAGGAGCCGCCGCAGCGAGAGGAGCCGCCGCAGCGAGAGCCGCCGCAGCGAGAGGAGCCGCCACAGCGAGAGGGGCCGCCGCAGCGAGTGGAGCCGCCAAAGCAGGAGCCGCCGCAGCGAGAGGCGCCGCCACAGCAGGAGCCGCCGCAGCGAGAGGCGCCGCCACAACAGGAGCACCAGCGGGGCCACCCGCTCTCTTCGCCGCAAAAGCGGCATCCGCATCCTCCTCGGAATGATGACGACGACGACGACGACGACGACGACGACGACGACGACGACGACGACGACGACACGCCCAGGAGGGAGGAGCCCTCCTCCGAGGAGGGAGGAGCAGGAGGGTGAGGATGAGGAGAAGGGGGAGGATACTGAGGGAGGAGGAGGAGGAGGGAGGGGGCGGGAGGAGGAGGGAACGGGAGAAGGGCTCCTCCATCCTTGCCCCTCTCCCCCCCCTCGGGCCCGAGAGTTCGGGGCTCGAAGAAGCTCCGGCGCCGCCTCGAAGGCTTCGCCGAGGCCCGCGCCGCCTCGAGGCCCCCGGCCCTCGCGATGGTGGAGGGGGACGAACCGCCGTCGGAAGAGCCTGGGGAGGAGTCGCTGACGATCAAACCATGGTTCTTGAATTGGCGCAGGCTCTGCGCTCGTCGTCGTCGTCGTCGTCGTCGTCGTCGTCGTCGTCGTCGTCGTCGTCGTTAGGCTGATGAGGAAGATCATCCAGTTTAGGTTCCAGATCTGCCTCTGGGGGCACCTCGGCCAGTGCCCTCCCCGTCCTCCTTTGCCCCCATTTTCCGTCCTCCTCCTGCCTCCCCCTCCTCCCCCACTATTCCTCCCTCCCGTCCTCCCTACTCCCTGACTCCTCCCCCTCCTCCCCCTCCCTCCTCCCTCCTCCCTCATCCTCCCCCTCCCTTCTCCACGGTACCTTCAGACGTTCGAGAAGGACTTCCGAGACTCGGTCAGGGCGGCACTGCCGAGGCCGAGGACGTGAGCCGTGCAATGCCGTGCAGTGTAATTCGTGTCCTCCTCCCCCCTCCTCCTATCTCCTCCTCCTCCTCGGTCGCAGGACAAGGGACGGGGGAGCAGGAAAGAAGAGCAGGGATCGAAGGAATGATCGAGGACCGCGGGTTCGAAGATGGGAGCAGGTAGGAAGGGGGCAGCCCAAGAAGTCCTGCTCGCCTTCGAGCTCGGCTACGACCGCGCCGAAGGAGGGCCGGCGGGGCGTCGGCGGGGACGACGTCCCCCGCAACAGCTCCGTCGCTCTCTGCCTGTAGCGCTGCGAGGACGGGGAGAAAGAGTCTCCTTCCGCCATGGCCGACGACGACGGCGACGACGACGACGTCGGCTTCGGGTCAAGATATCTACGGACGGATGTGGCTGCTGCTTGTTGCTTCTATGCTCCTCCTCCTCCTCCTTGCTGCTGCTTGCTGCTCCTATGCGCCTATGCTCCTATGCTCCGATGCTCCTCTCCCCTCCCTGCTGCCGCTCCTCTCCTGCGGCGTCATCTCCCCTTTTTGTTCGCTCTCTCTCTCTCTCTCTCTCTCTCTCTCTCTCTCCTCCTGCCTCTCACCTCCTGCTGCCTCTCCCCTCTCTCACCTCCTGCTGCCTCTGTTGGAGCCACTCCACTGTGCTATTTTGTTTATGGTAGGGTAGTGGCTTCACGACCCGTTACATACCCAGTGGGGTCCCCATGGCTGGGCTTGGAGCCTGCTGGAGGGGGTACTCGATTCTTTTGACAACGCCAGGGCAACAGCAGCTCTCGTGCGCCCAGCGGTCGTCCATTCTGCTCTGCCGAGACTCTGACCACATGCTGATCCGCCGCCGCCGCCGCTTCTTCCTCCTTGTCCACCACCTCCCTCTCCTCCAGGCTCCTCCCTGCATGTTCGAACTTATCCTCCCCGTTTTTCCTCTTCCTCCTCCTCCCTCTCCAGCCCCGTCCTCCTCCTCCTCCTCCTCCTCCTCCTCCTCCTCCTCCTCCTCCTCCCCCTTTCCTCTCTTTCTCCCCCGCCCCTCCCGCCCCCCGCCCCTCTCCCCTCTCATGTCTCCCCCACCCCGGGCGGGCGGAGGCACGTGCTGCCTCCTTCTTTTCGCCTGCGGGCGGGCGGGCACGCTCCGCCTGCGGGTGACATCGGGGGGCGTGACATCAGGGGCGCGACATCAGGGGCTGACATCAGGGGCCACCGAGCGCTGGCGCACATGGGTATGTATTTGCATACGTTTATTATTACTATTATATATACATATATATATATGAATATTCATATATATATATATAATATGTACGTGTATGTGTAGTTGTGTTTGTGTATGTGTATATGCATAAGTGCGTATATATACGTGCATGTCTGTCTATGTTTGTGCATGTGTGTATGTGTATATTTATACGTATGCAGACGTGTACGTACATGTGCATACGTGTACGTATATGTGCATACGTCCTACGTGCGCGCGCGGGGGGGGGAGGGGAATGTGAGGTCAGTGGATGGCAGATGGCCCCCCTGCCTTGCCAGCTGCGTGCTGGGCGGCAACGCTTTCGCGAGGTTCGAAAAGGAAACGCGATCGCGCTAATAGCACAAAGACGACGCTGGGCACTCTTAGTTTTCGATGGGGTCTAGTAGGTGGGCTGTGTGGGCTATTCGTGGGCTAGAAGGGGGGCAACGCCTAATAATGAACGACGCCAGACGACGATGATGGGGGATCGGCTGGCTGGGGGTGCCAGAGCTCCTAGCTCCTGGCTGGCAGCGGCCAAGGAGCCCTCCCCGGGCGCCCCAGCAAGCTCTGGTCGACTCCAGCGCGGCTCCGAGGCTGCCCCAGGCCGCTCCGAGACGCTCCGAGATGCCTCCCCGGAGGCGCCCTGGAAGCTCAGCAGCCTCCCCCTCGCGCCCACGATGGCCCAAGACGCTCCAACACGCGCCGGTAGGAGCGTCTGAGGAGGGGAAAAAGAGGCATCTCCATTGGAAAACGAGCCACTTTCAAGTTCCTGCTGACGAGGTTCCCTGCCAGCTCCCGGTGCGTGCTTCTCCCCGCGCCCTCGCGTTCTTTTCGGTTGCCTCGGGCCCCCTGTCCGGCCCTTCTGGCGCCTCGGGGCCCTCTTCCGGCCCTCCGCGGCCTCCTCCGGGCTCTCTTGGGATTTCTTCGGGCGCTCCGAGATGCTTCCGGAGGCGCCCTGCAAACTCAGCAGCCTCCCCCGCGCGCCCAAAATGGCCCCAGAGCGGTCTAACACGCGCCGGCACGAGCGCCTGAGGACGGAAGAAAACATTTTCTCTGGAAAACCAGCCACTTCGGCATTCCTGCTGACGAGGTTCCCTGCGAGCTCCCGGTGCGTGCTTTTCCCCGCGCCCTCGCGTTCTTTGTGGCCCCACCAGGGGCTGGGTACTGTTCGTTTTGAGCGCCCCTCAAAACGAACACCTGGAAGCTCTTTTTGGTTCCGTCCTGGCGCTCTCGAGGCCCCTCCCCAGACGGCGTTGAAACCGCGAGGAGTTTCCCAAAGGATCCCAACAACATCTCAGGAATTTTGAAGAGAGCCCCGAGAGACGCCTAGGAAGACCCCGCGAGAGGCCGCGATCTGTTCGTTTTGAAGGCCCCTCAACACGAATACCACGAAGCTCTTTTTGGTTCCGTCCTGGCGCCCCGGAGGCCCCTACCGAGACGGCCTTGAAGCCGCGAGGAGCCCCCCAAAGGAGCCCAAGAAGATCTCAGGAACTTCCAAGAGAGCTCCGACAGAGGCGTAGGAAGGCCCCGCGAGAGGCCGCGCTCTGTTCGTTTTGACCGCCCCTCAAAACGAACATCACGAAACTCTTCTTGGCTCCGTCCTGGCGCCCCGGAGGCCCCTACCAAGACGGCCTTCAAGCCGGGAGGACCCCCCCAAAGGAGCCCAAGAAGATCTCAGACGCTTCGAAGAGAGCCCGAGGGAGGCCTGGGAAGGCCCCACCAGGGGCTGGGCACTGTTCGTTTTGAGCGCCCCTCAAAACGAACACCTGGAAGCTCTGTTTTGTTCAGTCCTGGCGCCCTCGCGGCCCCTCCCGAGACGGCCTTGAAACCGCGAGGAGCCCCACCAAGACGGCCTTCAAGCCAGGAGGACCTTCCGAAAGGAGCCCAAGAAGATCTCAGACGCTTCGAAGAGAGCCCGAGAGAGGCCTGGGAAGGCCCCACCAGGGGCTGGGCACTGTTCATCCGCTCCCAGCGCACCATGGGGCTCTGATGCTTGTTTGGCGCTCCCTGCCGGATTGGGCCCCCAAGTCCCCCGCCCTTTTTGTCGGTCTGGAGCCCTTTCCGCGGCCTCTTGGGGCCATGCTGTGTTTCGCTCTTCTGGTGGTCCAGAATCGCCTCGGCCGACCCTGGAAGCGCGCGCGGCCGCCCAGGGCGCATCGGGTGGGATTCTGGGCCGGCGTCGCGGTGGCCCTGAATCGGTCCCGCCGATTATGTGCGGGCGGCCATTATGGGGCTATCTTGGAGGCGTGTTGGTGATCTTGGGGCCCCTCAGAGGGACCCCAGACGGCCCCAGAACGCCCCGAGAAGGTCGGACCCAACGCACGGACAAAGCCCGACCCGATCCCAAGGGAGCCCTTGAGCGCCCCAGGTGGAGCGTCCAGACGCTCCTCCGTCTCCTCGCTCAGCGATGTGTGGCAGGCGAACATGACGCCATTCATCCTGATCGCCTCGCGGCAGCACCCCTTCACCCCGCAAGTGGACGTAGTCCACGGGTCAGCCCTAGTCAGCTACAGCGCTGGGATCAGCGCGTGCGAGAAGGGCAAGCAGTGGGAGCGGGCGCTGGCGCTGCTGAGCGAGATGCGGGAGGCGAAGCTGGAGCCCAACGTCATCAGCTACAGCGCTGGGATCAGCACGTGCGAGAAGGGCGAGCAGTGGCAGCGGGCGCTGGCGTTGTTGAGCGAGATGCGGGAGGCGAAGCTAGAGGGCAACGTCATCAGTTACAGCGCTGGGATCAGCGCGTGCGAGAAGGCCCGGCAGTGGCAGCTGGCGCTGGCGTTGTTGAGAGAGATGCGGGAGGCGAAGCTGGAGCCCAACGTCATCAGCTACAGCGCTGGGATCAGCGCGTGCGAGAAGGGCGAGCAGTGGCAGTGGGCGCTGGCGCTGCTGAGCGAGATGCGGGAGGCGAAGCTGGAGCCCAACGTCATCAGCTACAACGACCGGAGAGAACCACAAGACCGCCCCAGGACGGCCCAAGAGGCCTCCAAGCGCGTCCCCAGACGGCCCAGGGAGCCCCAAGATGGCCCAAGAGGCACCCAAGACGGCCCCTGAGGACCCCAAGCCAGGCCCAAGAGGGGGCCACAGAACGGGGAAAAACCCTGCCACTCCGAGTTTTGGGCCCCCATACGCCCACACAAGGCCCAGAGGACCCCAAGCCAGGCCCACGAGGGGGCCAAAGGACAGGGAAAAACCCTGACACTCCGAGCCCTGGGCCCCCCCCATACGCCCATACAATACCCCAAGACTCCCCCAAGAGGCCTCCAAGAGCCTCCAACAGTACTCCGAAGCATGCCCCCCGAGGCCAGATACAGGCCTTCCCGATCGCCCCAAGACGCCCCCAGAGCACCCCAGAAGGGCTCCCAAACGGCTATTCAGGCCCTCCACCTCGCCCCAAGACGCGCCCAGAGGCCCCCAAAGGGCCCCACACGGCCCCGAAAGCCCAGGACGCACCCAAGACAGCCCCGAGAGCAGCCAAGAATGGCCAACGGAACGGCTCCGAGAGGCTCCAGGGGGCTCCAAGACGGCCTCACAGCACCCTTGGGAGCCCCACGACAGCCCCAGAGGCCCCCAAGGCAGGCCAGGAGGCTCCCAAGACGGCCCAGGAGGGCCTCCAGGAGAGCCCCAAGAGGCCCAAACCGTCCCATTCCCGACGGGAAACGCACATTTTCAATATATCTTGCTTTTTCGTCCTCGCAGCGTCCAGAAAGCTATACAGGCCCCCCAGCTCGCCCCAAGACGCGCCCACCCATGAGGGCGCCCAAAGGGCCACACACTGCCCCGGGACGGCTCCAGGGGCGCCCGAGACGGCCCAAGACGCACCCAAGACAGCCCCAAGAGCAGTTCATAATGGCCCAAGACGGCTCCACCGCCCCGTCTCCAAGACGGCTGTGGAGGCCCCCGCCGCCCCGTCTCCAAGCCTTCCCGTTTGGACAGTCTCCAAGGCGGTCTTTGGGCCGTCCGGGACGGCTCCAGAGGCGCCCGAGACGGCTCAAGAAACACCAAAGACAGCCCCAGTAGCGTCCAATATTGGCGCAAGATGGCCCAAAGATTGTCCCAAGATGGTCCGAGAGGCGCCCAAGACGGCCCCACATCGCCCCAAGACGGCCCAAGATGCACTCAAGACTGCCAAAGAGGGCTCCGAGAGACCCACCCCCAGGAGGACGAAAAGAGGCCCCCAAGCGGCCCCCGAGAGGCCTTGGATGCTCCTCTCTTGGGGAACGTCGAACTTCCAGCATCATTTTGGAGGCTTCTTGGACCCTCTGGGAGCCATCTTTGCGCTATTTGGAGACGTCTTGGGGAGGTGCGCTCGAAAAGTCGATTCGTGTCATCGCACTTCCGTCTCGCCGCCCTCTTGCGGGCCTCATAGGCCGCGCCCACTGGCCCCATTGTCACCACACTGCCAGATGAAATTATCATTCGGCCCTGGCGAAGAGCAGATAAACTTCTCACGGCTACCTTCCCCGCAGAAGCTATGATGAACACAGATTGCGGCGTCAGAAACAGCTTCTGTCCACATCATGTCATGCCTACATGGGCGTGCTTCCACTGACACCGCCTCCACCACCGCGTTCCTGCCTTCAGGCCTGCTTGCCTGCATCCCTCGCCCACCTTCCCCTCCAGCGGCCACCTCCTCCATCCACGCCATCCCCTCCAACCTCCCCTTACCCGCGAGGCCCCAGAGACGCTCCACTTCCACGTCCACGCCAGGGCGGGCAAATTCCGCGGCCGGAGGCCGCGGGTCAGCCCTAGTCATCTCTCCTACAATAGCCTGGTCTGCGCGTGCGGTGGGGAGCGCAGTGGCAGCGAGCCGCCCCCCCCCCCTGGCCGCTTCGGGGTGGCCGTCGGGGTCGCCTCGGAGCCTCTGGAGCGGCTCCGATCTGGAGCGGCTCCGATCGCGCAGCGGACGCTCCGTGACTGCCGAAGATCCGCTCCAGACGCCCCCAAGACGGCCTCAGGACGGCTCAAGACGCCCCCGAGCTGCCCCGAGAAACCTCCGAGCGGGCCCTTACGACGCAAAAATCGTCCCATTCCCTTCGTAAAACGTACATGTTTGGAGAACTCGCTCTTCTGGTCTGCACGGCGTCCAAGACGGTCGAGGACGCTTCCGAAACCGCCCCAACACGGCCCCAGAGGCCCCCCAGAGAGCCCCAGTCGAGACCAAAACGGCCCCTCAGGACCCCAAGACGGCTCGCGAGGGACCCAAGAGGGCCCCCAGAAGCTCCCAAGAGAGCCCCGAGAGGGCCACGGGAGGCGCCCAAGAGTGCCTCCAAGTACCCCCAGAGCGCCCCAAGACGGCCCGTGCCCCCCAAGACGGCCCCGGAGGGCCCCAGAGCGGCCCCAGAGCGGTTCAAGAGGGCCCAAAAGAGCTTGGACAGGACCCTCCAAGGGGCTCCCAAGAGAGCCCCAGGAGGGCCACAGGAGACGGCGCAGGGCGGCCCCGGAGCGCTTTAAGAGGGCCCAAAAGAGCCCCGACAAGACCCCCCAAGAGGTTCCCAAGAGAGCCCCAGGAGGGCACTACGAGACGGCGCCAAGACAGCCCAATGCGATCAGACGGTTGCACCTTGCCAGGACAGCCTTGTGCCAACTACACCTCGAGGCCTCGTCTCCCACAAGAGGTTGCGGACTCGCCCGTGAGCTTCGACGACGTGGTGCACGGGAACTCCCAGAACCGTCGTCGCAGTCGTCGTCCTGCAGCACGCCAACCTGGAGGCCACCCTGCGGTGCCACGTGTGCCAAGGCAGCCGCGCGGGGGTGTCGCCGCCGCCATCGCCGCCGCCGCCGTCGTCGTCGCCGTCGCCTGCGCCCAGAAGGAAATTCGGAGGGGCGCCGTCGCCGTTGCCGTCTTCGTTGTCGTCGTCGTCGTCGTCGTCGTCGTCGTCGTCGTCGTCGTCGCCACAAAAAAAGCCACCGTGCCCTGTCAAGTGGCCCCCGCAGGGATCCACGAGCACTCTTCCTACCTAGGCTCTGCCTAGAAGGGTTCTTACTCTCTTAGCTTAAAGGGGCCGGGCAGTGCAAAGCGCCCCGGGCGGCCCCCCCAGTCCCCTGGGAGCGGTTCCCCCCAGTCCCCTGGGAGCTTTAGCTTTAGCTTTAGTTTTAGCTTTAACTTTAGCTTTAGCTTTAGCTTAGCTTTAGCTTTAGCTTAGCTTTAGCTTAGCTTTAGCTTAGCTGTAGCTTAGCTTTAGCTTAGCGTTTCGCTTAGCTTTTCGCCGAGCGTTTAGCTTAGCTTGAGCTTAGCTTTAGCTTAGCTTTAGCTTAGCGGTAGCTTAGCTGTAGCTTAGCTGTAGCTTAGCTGTAGCTTAGCTGTTGCTTAGCTTCAACTTAGCTTTAGCTTATATTTAGCCTAGATGTAGCTTAGCTTTAGCTTTGCTGCTGCTCAGCTCTAGCTTAGCTTTAGCGTAACTTTAGCTTAGCTTTAGCTTAGCTTTAGTTTAGCTTCAGCTTAGCTTTAGCTTAGTTTTAGCTTAGTTGTGGCTTAGCTTTATATTCGCTTTAGCTTAGCTTTAGCTTAGCTTTATCTTAGCTTTAGCTTAGCTTTAGCTTAGCTTTAGCTTAGCTTTAGCTTAGCGTTACTGTTACTACTAATGCTGCTTTCCTAGGGGTTCGAACTCCTAGGTAGGGTCGCACTGGGATAATTCTTTAGAAAAATGCCCCGCAGGCCCTTGTGGCGCTTAGAGCGGGCCCACAGTATGCGATAGTGGCCCTCGGAGGCCTCTTACAGCCATCTTGGGCCATCTTGGCAATTCGCACCGCTCCGACCCCCGCCATCTCGGTCCGTCTTCGCTGTTCTCACCGCTCTGAACGCTCGTAACCGCTGGGGCCCCCTCCCCCTGCCCCTTTTCCGTAGCCGCGCCGTCGCCGTCACCGTTGCCGTCTTTGTCGTCGTCTTTGTCGTCGTCGTCGTCGTCGTCGTCGCGACAACAAAACGCCACCGCGCCCTGCCAAGTGGCCCCCACAGGGATCTGCAAGCACTTTTCTTTAGATTATCCCAGTGCGACCCTACCTAGGAGTTGGAGCCCCTAGGAAAGCAGCATTAGTAGTAACAGTAAAGCTAATCTAAAGCTAAGCTACAGTTAAGCTAAAGCTAAGCTAAAACTAAGCTAAAGCTAAAGCTAAAGCTCCCAGGGGACTGGGGGGAACCGCTCCCAGGGGGCCCCTTTGGCGCCTAGAGCGGGCCTACGGCGTGAGATAGTGGCCCTCGGGGGCCCTCTTACAGCCATCTTGGGCCATCTTGGCAATTCGCACCGCTCCGACCCCCGCCATCTTGGTCCGTCTTCGCTGTTCTCACCGCTCTGAACGCTCCTAACCGCTGGGGCCCCCTCCCCTTGCCCCTTTTCCGTAGCCGCGCCGTCGCCGTCGCCGCTGCCGTCTTCGTTGTCGTCGTCGTCGTCGTCGTCGTCGTCGTCGTCGTCGTCGTCGTCGTCGTCGTCGTCGTCGTCGTCTTCGTCGTCGTCGTCGTCGTCGTCACGACAACAAAACGCCGCCGTGCTTTGTCAAGTGGCCCCCCTCAGGGATCTGCAAGCACTTTCCCTTAGAAAAATGTTCCGCAGGCCCCTTTGGCGCTTAGAACGGGCCTACAAGCTCGTGGAAGCTCGTCGGGTCCACACTAGTCTCCTCTACAATACCGGGATCAGTGCGTGCGAAGCCCCCTCGAGTGGACTCGGCCTGGCCCCCGGCGCTCCTGGGGCCCTGGTCCGTCGCCAGCGCCCCCGGAACGGTCTTGGTCCGTCGCCGGCGCTCCCCGAACGGCCCTCGCCCGCTCGTGACGGATCCACGAGAGTCCCGAGCGAGCCCCGAAACAGCCCCCCAATGGCCCCTGAATGGCCCGAGTGGCCCCGGAGGCTCTCTTGACGATTTCGA